GAGAGAGAGAGAGAGAGAGAGAGAGAGGGAGAGAACAAATCGTTACAAACCAATCCCTTAAATCAAGCTTTGGATTCCTTGTGTGACTGGACTCCTATGATTAGAAACTTCCATCCATAAAAGCAGCACCATTATTCACGCAGAAGGTTACAAAACATTTACACAGAATTTGTCTCTCTCCATTCCATTCTGCCGTCACTGAAACCGTAGACCAGTTCACGTCGAATTGTGTCAATATCTTCACAAAAACCCACAAAGATGGTGACTCAACTACGTTGCGCATCTACAGAATATAAGGTACATAATGGTTTCTTTGTTTATGTTTCCTAAAAAAATGCACGAATGGTTCACCACAGAATATTGCAAGGATTGTTAATTTCTGTAACTTAAGTTTCCCATGGTCTTTGTGATCCACAATTGTGTGACTGTCTGTCGCCTGTCAGAAAGAAAATGATGATGTCCATTGATGAATGTTAAAAAAAAATTTCACACAACCGTTAATATCATTGTGTCCACAAAATTCGGTGTGACATTAATTTTCCTTGTAAAATTGTGCAGGATGGATTACGTGCATGTGTGTTTGTTACGTGGATCACAAGTGTCGTTGCTTATGGTTGATCGCAATTGTAGCTATACGAAGCTGGTAAATAATGTTGTCAACGAGTTCGGTTTGGATCAATCGAAGGTAGCGGTCACATTGAAGTATGAACTGAGCAGTGATCTCCCCCTAGTGTTGATAAAGAATGACAGTAATGTAAATTCGTACCTTGTGTTGAAGAGCCTGAATTGTGACCCTTCAAAATATCCTTTAACCATTGAGGTCACAGTAGTGGAGGGACAAGAAAAACCATTTGAACTTCCAGCTGATATACGCACCAGTGAAGATATGTTTTTGTTGGTTGATATGTCATACGAGATATGCGAGGCAGCCATTGAAAACGTGGGTCGTATTTACAAAAGTGATGTGGCAATGGTCAATGTGGCCGATGGAATGACGGTAAAAATTGGAAGGATATTTCGGAATAAGAAGACACTGAAAATGAGCTTGGCATTCTATACAATACATAATATATTTTAATATAGGGCTATTCGTTCAGACAAGAAGGAATATCTTGTAAGGTGTTCCCGATAGGAGTGTAGTTGGATATCTAAATCATCCAAAATGGGTGCAACAGATATGTTTAAGATAAGACGTATGGCTGATGGTCACGCACATGCTGCAAATATAGTATTGGGGGCTCATAGACAAGTGACAGCATCAGTTGTGTCAACGTGCATCAGATACAAGTACACTTCGTCCCGGACAACGTACACTCCAAATGATATACGCAATGACATGTTACAGAATTATGGGGTCTCATTAAATTATGTAAAGGCCTGGAGATCCCGAGAAAGAACATTGAAAATGCTTAGAGGTAATCCAACGGATTCATTCATGAAGATACCAAGCTTTTTTTATATGTTACATCAAATGAATCCTGGTACGGTCACAAGACTGGAACTTGACAGCCACAATAGGTTCAAATACTGCTTCATGGCAATTGGTGCATCAATTAGAGGATGGTAGCATTGTAGACCTGTGATTGTAGTTGATGCAATGTATTTGAATGGCCATCATGACGGTACACTGCTCATGGCATATATATAGGATGCAAATAATAGCATATTCATTCTTGTATTTGGAATTGGAGACAACGAGAACGACAAATCCTGGATATGGTTCTTTGAACAATTGAAAAAGGCGTACGAAAATAGGAAATGTTTGTGTTTTGTATCAGATTGTCACAACAGTATCAAGAAAGCAATCAAAAAGGTGTATCTAGGGACATATCATAGGATATACTCATATCATCTACTACAAAACCTAAATTCGTATTTTGGCAAGACGGGTCACAATATAACACGGGCATTCAACTCGGTCGTTCGTGCGTAAATCCTAGTAGAATTTGAATATAACATGCGGCAGCTTGATTCAATTAATTCGAAGATTACAGCCTATCTGGTAATTGTCTATTGATAGTCACATTAACATACATGCTTCTATGTCGCAAAAACGATGTGTATATCATTGTTGTTCCTCGTTCTTGCTTGTAGGCTGAAGTAAACCCCGATAAATGGTCAAGATTTCACATGCCAACTAATTGGTATTCTATAATGACTTCAAATATAGTAGAATCTATGAATGCAGTGACAAAAGCAGCGAAAAACTTCCCTGTTGTGGCTCTATTGGATTCTTTGAGACAGACTATACAGTTTTGGTTCTGTAAACATAGGGACACCGCGTGCGGCACTTTCACAAAGCTGTCAAGCAATTACGAGAAAATTTTGAGGGATATGAGTTATGATTTGAGAAACTTCACGATAATGTTTGTATTTGTGACCTATCTTTCACGACTATAACTTATCCTCTAGTTTGAAAGTAGGTTGATAATAACTGTTATTGGAAATTATCTAGTTTTGTGTCATTATTTGCAGGTATCTCCTACAAATCAAACCATTTTTCTGTTCGTGGTGATAGCTCGTCATTTATTGTTGATATGGAACAACGTATGTGCACATGCAGGACATTTCAAGTAGATCAATTACCACCCACACACCCTGGCTGTTATTACAATGATGAAGATTGATGCATATGATTATTGTTCATACTTCTACACGAGGGATGTATACTTCAATGCATATCAACACACAGTGTTTCCAGTTGGAAATATCAATGAGTGGGCAATATCGAATGAAGTTGTAGACATAGTTGTCCTGCCACCAAACCAAAAAAGAAGTACAGGAAGGCCATTCGAAAAGAGGAAGAGATCATCTTGTGAAGGGAAAATCATAGTCAAGTGTAGACGTTGTGGTGGAAATGGTCACAATAGCAGAACTTGTAGCAGTTTGGCTCCATTAAGTTAAAGTTAGTCGAAAGTGTAATCGCCTAGAATTAGTATATAGGAAAATTCAATGTAGCGTATGACAAAATAAACATGCAAAATAGTCATTTGTGACTTCGTCATTAAATCTGTGCCTTATTGGATGTAACATATTTTGCATCCTAATGCTAACCATGAAGAAGTATAAATGACATCAAGATTATAATATGTGGCCGCATTGTGATTAAAAAACTTAAAATCTGAGCAAAGAATGATATATACATTTGTGTGTTTTTTTATGTGTTTGATAAACAGTTGTGACCTTTCACCTGGATAGGTAATTTGTGATCTCGGCATAATATATACGTAAATAATTTTTTTTTGATAACCATTTATGTATTTTTTTTTACTGAGTAATGTGTGTGACCTTGTTTGAAATCTCAATATGATATAAAAGTGGGACTGTGTACATACCATGTCTGTGACCTATGATCCCAGCATATTATATGTGCGACATTGTTGTAGATTGCACCTGTGACCGTAATATGATATGCAATTGTGACCGTGTATACACTGTCTGTGACCTGTGACCTGGCATGCTTATGTGATTCCAACATAACATACGTGTGGCCTGTTGCAAAATGCATCTGTGAACGTTATAGGATATCAAATTGTGATCGTGTATATACAGTGTGTGACCTGTGACATGGAATGCATTTGTGATCTCAACAGCTTATACCTGTGGCTTGATTCTAATTGAATCTGTGACCGAAATATGATATACACTTGTGACCATATGGAAAAATATGTCTGTAACCTATGTACGGTATTAGCAACAACAACATTGATCTATGACCTGGCATTCATTTGTGAAATGTAAATAATGATTCCAATCAAAAATAATTCTTCCAAAGTAAAAGACCAACTAACAAAAACTAATAAACAATAAGTAATTGAAACCTGCCTCATACCAACATGTAGTACGGCATATGTGACATAAAAAATTCTACTTAAAACATAAAATGTCAAAAGTATTCGTCTAGATAACAAAAAAAAAAATCAAAAGTTAGGAATGGTACCTTCCATTACAAACGTGGCATCAATGATCATAACATTTTCGAATATCATTCTATAACTATGCCCCTCTCGACCTTTCGTTTCCTCCTTTAGTTGCCTTCTTGATGTCACGATGTTTGTACAGCTGTGCGGCTACGTCTAGCCTAGCTCTGGCAGCATCAAACTCTTTCGGCATAGACTCTAAGTTATTATAAAGAATGTATTCAGCATACTTGAAAACAAATATGCCGCAGTCGTGGCTGGAAAAAAATGTAGTAAGTTCATTAGCTTTCACATCAACACGGAGGTCACATTTACAATATTTATGGATACATATAAATAGGCAGAATATGAGATGATGATAAGCACCGTACCGGTTTTGCTGTTGTGGAACATCATAACCAAGCACGATTTCAACTCCATGGAATCACCTTCATCATTATCTAGATCCTTGTTCCATAATCCAATCGCTCTCATCAGGTGAGGGATAACTCTAAAAAATAGTTCAACGTCAGCACGAACACGTAAATCGGGGTATGTTCGTCTGGCTGAATTGAATACAGACATTGTACGTTCGTTTATGTCAAGAAGGGCCAACATCCAATGAGCCTTGTTCGTAGGCAAGATTGGCATCAAAACTCGATCCACTTTAGGCCATGGACAGCTCAAAGGTAGTTGGACACCTGTGACATCATTGATGAGCTGCGTATCAGTTAGTAGTACATTTGAATCCTTCTTGAAATGAGGATAGACATGCTTGATGACGGCCTGAAAGTGGGAGTCCGTTGTGGTGGCCTTGTACTTGACATTCTCCCCATATAATCCCAGTTGACGTATGTAGTAAAAGCAAGAGTCTATGTGCTGTTACATGGTACGGGAATAAAGTCAGCATATTATGATTTGTGTGACCTGACAAGCATTCGTGATGTGCACTTGTGATTTGTGACCTGATATGTAATGGTCTCTATGGCTTAAATATGTATGTGATCAGCATACGAAATTGACAACATCAATATTTATAAACGATATGTCACCTATTATGATTATGTGGGATGAATAAATTATATTTGTTACCTGATTTAAATAATTGTGACCTGACTAAATTTTTTTAGATCGAGGTCATCAATGTTTGTGACCATCCTATTCATCATATGCACGATAAATCATGAGGCATGAGTACATCATGCTTCATAAAGTCGGAAACATTATTTGTGACCGAAGGCTACCATATTAGTCAGGGACGAATCTGATGAGACGAGGTCATGCCACCAAGTTTTACTATCGATAACAAATGTTTCAATGCAGAAAGGCAGCTTAATAACATTGTCGAGATCATTAAATTTTTTCTACAAGAAAAAAAAGAATAGTAGTGAACATTGAATCATCCATAGGTAAAGTTAATGCGGGAAATGTATTGTCGAACGTACTTACTTGTTTGTTGGTTTGTAATCTCTGTGAAACCAACTCTTAAATGCAGCAACATCAGCATCGTCATAATGTTGATTGTAGAGACGAAAGACTATTATATTGTCCGAGCTCTTGCTATGTTTCCCTTCGTTAGAAACGAATGGGGACTGCAATATACGCACGGGTCTAGAAACCTGCTTCAATGGTAGTCCAGATGATCATCCTGATGTTGGAGATACCTGTCATATAGCTAGTTACTAATGCCGTCATAGAATCATTTAAAAATTTCAGATCTAACTTTATCTCCAGCAGGTCTGTCTTGATATTCTCTTGCACACGAACAACGATATTGAGGTTGTGACTACTGTCAGCTTTCATGGACAGTAACTGTTCCCTGACATCATCGATTTTCATAGACAACTCCATATTCTTCATTCAGAGATCAGTAACCTCATGTTTCAAAAGCTGCAAAATGGAAAGCATTCGATAAGAAATCGACTACACGTAGAGCATAAGACATTGAAGCATTAATTTGAATGTGACCCTATATGCTGGACCGTGACCTGCATATTGTGAAAGGTCACACAAAATAAATCAATGTGGCAATAGACAGATGCATGTATATATGAATCATGTACACAAATTGTGTCACACAACAGGTCTTGAAAATTTGAAACATGGAACAGTGATCTGTAACCAGATAATCACATTTGTGTCCATTGAACGACAATGTACGACGTGATCAGAATTTGTGACCAAGATTGAGGACACACATATGAAAAGTACGGATATGAACGTATTTCAAAATCAGCTATATATGCTGCATGGGGTGGAGACATATGAGCGGATGGACCTTTATCCTTCGTGACTCCGCACACATCTTGTCTGGCTCCATCGGAGGGTCCATGGAAGAATGGACAGGAAATGATTTCCGTTGTCATCGTAGAGGTGGATCACGAAATCGTCGTCATTGTCGATATCACTCGAGTGACCTAACCGTCCATCAGTAATCATTAGAATGCATGGCTTAGACTTCTTCACAGTTCGATTGATCTTTGAGCTTCTACTGTGGCGTGATAGGGAAGGTTCTTGTGGTTTGTCATATAGAACTCCATCCATATACGGCTGCACCATCTCCATCTCAGATGAATTGATGTCCTGAACTTGGAGCTATTAAAACAGAATAATGTAAACTAGCGGCTCGAGCCGAATGAATAAACATTGTGTAATGTGGATTGTGACCAAAAAATGAATAAATCTGACCAGATTATTACACTTGTGACATTTGCAGGACAATAGAAAAATGTGGCCTTAGCTATGTGAATGTGACACTATAATGTATCGTTGATAGTTGAGCGAAGACAGTGTAATGTGACTGCATGGTTTGAAGTGTGACCTAATCTGTGACCAGATCAAGTAATAAACAATCATGTGAAGACTTACATCGGGCACGGAGAACACGTCCTCTTCGAGTTTTGCATCAGACGGTAGTTTATCTGAACTCCAGTTCATTATATGTGGGTAATTGCTTCCAACCCTAGAAGTGACAGTCCCGTCAAGTGGAGGAATAGACTCATAAATCCAAACTTGAAATGCAACAAGAAATCCTTTTAGTCTATAATGAGGATTTCGATTCCTCAACCCATCTTTCAAAGAAGTTATGGAAAGATCAAACAACTCTTTCGCAAATGGAAACATCTCCAACATCTCAAAATCTTCAACAAGAGCGAACAAATAATTGTCAACAACTTTTTTGTACAAGGTTGAAAAGAGGTATGAAGTTATCAAATAAAGAATCCCAATTTTCACTACTTCATAATCGTCCTCATTTGTCATACCAAGGAATATATCTCTAACATCTTCGTTTATGACTAGTGACTACATTCAAGTGTCCAAAAAATTTCTCCTTAATCTTGGAATGTGAATTCTGAAGACTTCTCCTACCATCCTGACCATGGTATCTAAGACCCGTGACCAGACAAAACTCAAGTAGCGAAAAATGTAAATACCTACCACCTACCAAAAACCACATCTCTTTCTTGTTCGGTTGCTTTACCTCCCGAAGCAAAAAATAATGAATTAGTTGAGGTTGAACAACTATCTCCTTACAATCCACAAAATAGTAGAAGCATGTCCTAGACAAAATATGTTTCTATTCATCGTTGAACTTCGATATAAAATTCGACAGCATGTTCTTGGTTGCATTTGTGGTAATTTTACCGGGAAACCATGCAGATTCCGGTATAATATACTATCATTCCTACAATAGATGCAAACAGTAGCAAATTAGAACTCAGCATTTGATGCATGAAGTGAGTTCGTGTCACACAGAAAGCAATTGTCATGAAAAAAAAAACTTGGTTTGTGGACCTTAGAACTAAGGTCACACAGGAAACAATTGCATCCACTTATGTAACCACCCATGCAAAATGCACCAACAGAAATATCGCAAAAATGTTTTGTTCATTTACCCTAGAACTAAGGTCATAAATAAGATCGAATTATAGAGAAGTGTGCAACAACACGTAGTCCAAATTCATCATCAAAACAACTGCAAATAGAAATAAATTATACTACTCA